CAGAGGAATCACCTCAAACCAGATGTTGAACTAGAATTTATTTCAATTTCATTTGTGAATGTTAGAGCCTCATTTTCAACAGCGGAGTTATAAAAGCTGAAAAAGGTTATTAATTTGGAGAAAATCTCATCAACATCAATATTTCCACTAAATAAGAGGCAAAAATAAAAATAGTTTGATAAAGGAAAAGCCTCTCAGACTCTGACCCCGACAGCACCAAACTATTTTTTTATATTAGACAATTAATTTAATTTCACATAATTATCGGTAGAAGCCTTTTGTCTGTTAAATACTTAATGAAACATATTTACCGTGTTTGATGTTTGTTGTCAATGAGGTATACTCACAGACGAACGAGGTAATTAGTCCAAGTTTGTCGTTTATTGAACGTTCAGAAACTACAGCGGCTGTAAAGAGCCACAGCAAAGGTAAAGAAAGGTAAAATAACTGAACAGGTGATCAACTCTAAACCACTCGCACTTTTTTACTCTCTCTCACTTTGTCATTTAAGCACACCCGTTGCCGTGGCAACCACCTGCGCTCCACAAGCCGACTAGAGATTACTTTAAAAACATAACATTCAGTCCGTTAGGTTTGCAGCCTTAATATTTATTTTGTGATCATTAATAAGCCTCTCATAAACACAGCGGTGGTTGATTAGTTAATTTTAAACTCCTGCTCTGCTCGTTATTTTAATAATGGAACAGAAACGCACAGAATTGCACAACACCTTGTTGAAACAATAATCACTGAGATTATTATTGTTGGGTCATTAATTTGAACACATTTTGTAGATTTTTGTTGTTCTTTAATAAAGTTATGAACGTTTTGATAAGCCACTCAGAGGAGGACGTTCTGGGCTCAGCCTCCTGGCGGCGTTCAGTTTGTCACTCAAAACCTTCTGCGATCGACGTATTGCACCGCTGCTCTAGCATGACCTGTTCAGAAACGATATGAAATGTGGAAAAAGTTATTTATTAACTGATTAAGTCGAATTTTAGATTGTTCTTGAAAAACTAATCACTCACGGCTGCACAGTGAACCCGTTGATTCTTTACAGCAGACAGCCGCTCCTCTCTCTTCCCCGCTAAATCTTTTAGGGGTACGCAGTACCCGACCATACCTGCCTACTTTCACCCCTGCTTAACCATAACATGAATATAATTAATATTACCAATCTAGATCAGAAACTTTAACAACTTCAGTTTAGTTTCATGCTTCTATTCTCCTTTATTTTCAACATTCAGCTCCACACACTGATGACTGATAACCTTCGGTATTTATTTTGTTTCCTGGCTGCTAGGTGGTTGGAGTCAAAGATCCTCGAATGGGTGAAGAGGTCTGTGCCTGCATCAAACTGGTGGACGGCCAGGAGTGCACAGCAGAGGAGATCAGAGCATACTGCAAAGGACAGGTGGCTTCATTTCATTTTCGTTTCTGCTCTCCTTCCTCTGCCGGAGCTGCTGTGCTCATCATCTCCCGGTTTTCACTTCTTCCAGATCGCCCACTTCAAGATTCCTCGCTACATCCTCTTTTTGACCAGCTTCCCACTCACCGTTACTGGAAAGGTGATGCTTTTATGGGCTTTTTTTCTTTCTTTCCCCAAATCCACAGCTTTCAATTTGTGGTTAATTGCAAACATGTTGCAGCCAGAGTGAAAACGGATCCAGATTTAGAACCTCAGCCATGAAGGCCGTCTGCACGCACTCGGCGTCCCTCTGGCCTCATTAAACAGTCAGATTAATTCAGACCCTAAACTTAGGACTCCTTTGAGAGCCATCAAGTCCAACTGCACAGGAAAGACAAGGCAACGCAGCGGTTTCATGTTCTCACATCTGAAGCTGAAGTTAGAAAAGGTGCCTGCTGTCTTTATACACACAATAATATAAAGTGTACACTATATATATATATATATATATATATATATATATATATATATATATATATATATATATATATATATGACATTTTTATATATATTTTTGGATAACAAATACAAGAACATGGACTAGTAGAAAAATCAGTCACTACATTTTTATTCTGAAAGAGGGAGTTTTGGAAAACGCACCCAATTTTTTAATTTTTTTATTTGTATTGATGTGTCAAAACATTACTTTCAATTAAGTTGACTCCATGGGTTTCTCAAAAAGTTATTTAAAATGTGAAACACAACGGCTCTTCAAAAAAAATAACTCATATTTATCATTTTGATTCTGAACTCATCCCTGTTGCTTATACATCTTTTCAACTTCACTTTTTTCTTCCACTGAACTTTGTCAATGTCCTTGGATAGAGAATTATACCATGTAAGATAATATTTGTGTAGCCTAAATCTATTTTTCTAATGGGTTGGCAATGTAATATTCAGATTTTCTTAGCCAAAGAAAACCCAAACGTCTGTATCTTTGACCAGCAGCTCCTTTTTTTTTTTTCTTGAAAAGAAAAAAACTTTTGGATGATATTCTCCTCTACCGGGATCCAGAGATCGAACAAACCTAAAAAAATTTCACATTGTGCAGCCATATTTCTTGAACAGTTTGTAGATTTAAAAATTGTTTCCTCATTTATTCATTTATCTGTCTTTTTTTTTTGTTTTTTACTCAGATCCAGAAGCAAAAGCTACGTGAAGAGGCCGAGAAGCAGCTGAGCTGAATCAGAGGAAATGACAGACTTCTCTCCTGAACGGAGAGAATTCAATTACTGTTTCCAGTACTTAAACTGTATATGAATCGTATAGCATAAACTACAATTTGGATTAAGCCAACCGGCCATCAGAACAAGATAAAATGTCTGGAGAAGATTCTCTGGCAGACGGTGTAATCCGTAAGCAGACCAGCAATGGGCAGGGATCTTTAAACTGTGATTAGTGGGTCAGGTATTTAAGCTCTTACAAGAAAAAGGCATCAATCCACTTACGACAAGGGCGCAATTTACTCTGCAAACATGTACAGACTCAGATCCAGGTTGAAAGCGGCACAGGAATCAAGACGGAACATAAAATGTGATTTTAGCACTCAAATGTGATTCCATTTTCTTTTTAACAGTTCTACTCTGACCGTCCTGTGAGGCTGATGTGTGCGGACACCTTGTTGGTCTGCTCAGTTTTTACCCAGCAGCTACAAAACTTCCATTTTTTTTAATTATTGTTATTATTATAATTATCTTTAATCTCAACTTGAAATAAACTCCATTAAAGCCAGACCTGGGTGTTCCTCTTTTACGGGAAGAACGGAGGCGTTTTTCTTCATCCCGGCAGCAGGTGCACGACTCTCCGGCCCTCCACACGCCGCTCGCTCCGATTAAAAATGTAGAAAATGAGCCAACATGCCAGACACGCTGAAAGCCGTAAAGAATTTCCTGCCTGGACGACATGGTCGGGTGTCGGCGGCTGTCTAGACCCGAAGGATTCGGCCCAGAAATGGCTCCTAAAACAAACGTTGGCTTTTGGCTTTTAAAGGAGGAACCTCAAGGTTTGCTTTCCTTCTTTTATTTTTCTGTTATTTTATTTCACATACTTCAGGTTTCATTAAATGTTTCAGGACGTTTTATTCTTACAGAAACAGCCAAGAGGAAGGAACGTTGGCTGAAGTGGCCGCCGAAGATTTTTGCGGGGTTTTAACATTTAGCAGAAGGTAAAATCCCAGCATCCAGTCAGTTTAGACAAGATTTTATTCTTGAAACTTATTTGCAAAGTTAATATATACATAAAAAACTATTTGTCCATTACTTTTTCTCAATAACAGGAATATCTTTCCTTCTGCTGATCAGGTTATTTAAATTTTGCAGCAATATACATTAACATGCTTTTAAATTTAAGGTTTTAAAGCTGAGACGGTCTTTATCATGTTCTGAAATTATTTTAATCTAACTGTAAGTGTATAAAAATCACACAACAGATTTTAAACTGTCTTCACGTAATGAAAAACAAGTAACACCCAAACTGAGTGTGGAAAAACTAAAGTAATTGGTGTGACTGATCACCTTTACTAAAGCAGTAATTTTGTCAGTTTGCTGTTCTGGAACATATTTCTGATTCTTAATAAATTATATTTGTTACATGTGCATCCTTTTCCTTCCACTCAACTTTCTAATTTATAGTTTTATACCTCATTTTGTGAGATGTGTGCTTCTTTGACCTTTTGTGACTCTCCCTGTGAATAATAACCGTGTAGACCAGCGGTTTCTGAACTTTACAGCTTCTGACCCAAAAAGTAAAAATGTAAGTGATTGTTGTTGTGCAAGACGTTTTACAGTCACTTAATGTCAAAGTAACAATTAGGATCAACAGCCAAAATATCGACCCACGTGTTTTTATTTTGCCCCGTTTATCTTTTACAATATTTATAAAATTCATGCTTTCTTACATATTTGTGACTCCAACTTTACAAACTCCTAGTGAAGAACATAACATGTCTGTAATTCACAACTGCTCAAATCAATTTTTTTTCAAAGAGAAGGAATAAATAATTTTATTCCACTGTACGTTCATTCATTAACCCTTAAACCCAACAAAGTTCATGCTGTTTCTGGCTAAAACAGATTTCACAAACAAAATGAAAATACATTTTCAGCAGGTTGCTTGGAAAACACAAAATGAAAGAATGCAATCACCTGCCCTCTTTCTTGATGTCATCGAACCTCCAAAAACAGCATCACATATTCTGATCGTTTTTGCACTAATAAACTGAGAATTCTTAGATTTGATGCATTTAACGAGAAATAAGAAAAAAAAACATTTTTTCACTTTTTGATCTGCTGACCACTGATCAAGCCACAACTGTCTGATTCTGATCTCTGATTTGTGCGTCTCTACGTTCTTGTCTTTAAAGTTCATTCTTTCTCCAGAGCATTCACTCTGGTTTTCACTTATAAAATTAATAATCTGAAAACACCATGTGGACAGATCACAGCAGTGCTATTACACCTAAATGAGCAAGTTTGAGGTAACTGTTTTTGTCTTTTTCCTGTTCCACCCTGCACACAAACACCGACTCTCTCTGGGGGTTTTTTCCACTTCGGTGTGAAGGAGCCAGAGTGGCCGGGAGACGACCCTGACCTCGCCCTCGTCCAGGAGCCTGGGGAGCGTTTTCCCACAGCATCACGCCAGGACTGCATCACTGGGGCTAAAGAAGTAAAACCCCCAGGATGCAGAAACGCCTCCGAGAGGGGTGAGCTTGTTTTAGGCACAAAGAGCCAAACTGAGTCCTCATTCTTTGGGCAACGGGATCCCAACAGCAGTCTGCCGTCCCTCCGTCTGCTGTTGGGCCTGCCTCACCTGCTCCTCACTGCAGCAGTCCTGCAGGAACACGGCCGCCAGGTTGCGCAGGCGGGGGCTCTCTGCCAGGGAGAAGCGCAGCATGCACTGCAGGATTCCCGGCTCGGAGATCTGGGGACGGGTCGCGGGCGTGGCGAGGTTCATGAGGGTGGTGACGGCCGACAGGACGGTCTCTTCCCGCCGGTTGGACAGGCAATTTGTGACCAGGCTGATGCCGCCACTCTGCAGGATGACCTCTCTACACTCGGGGTCCATGCTGAGGTTACAGAGCCCCCCTGAGAGCACAGAGGAGGCACAGAAGGACGAAGGTTATCTTTGGATTTTAGTTCAGTTCATTGTGTTTGTATGGCAGCAATAGTTATGGCAAATATCTCAGATGTTCCGATTTATTTACAGAAGTGCACAAGAAATCAGATAAATACCAATACGAGTCAATCAGACATATTTCAATCAATAAGTCACAATCCAGACTAACATAGATGTAATACTGGACAGTCTAATTCCAGTTATGGCGGCGATTAATCAAAATGCATCCATGGAACTACGCTAACTGCATGAAGATTTTATTTTTGCAGCAATCCCTCCTCCTAAGGAAGCTCGTGGCCAGAGTGGAAAAGAGAAAAACATAAAAAACACACAACTTTAGTCCAGGTACACTGTTGGATTTTATAGGTAGTTCACATGTGCAACATACCTGTAGCATTGAAACTGGTACATTTTTGCTGAAGATATTAATATTTTCTGCTCTGGAAATGATTTGCAGCATTTATTTTACTTTACTTGGAAACTGAAAGACTATACATGTGAGATATAAAAAGGATAAATGGAAACTGATGAAGTAAAAACATAATGATGGAAAAGAGAGATTAAAAATATTTCTTCTAAAGCGTTAGGTAGCATTGCAGTACTAAAGAATAGATATTAAATATCCAAATTGTCTACTGCTCACTAGTTTCACTTTATTTAAGAATCTGTGCAGAAATCCAGGGCAGTAACTACAAAAAAGACAGGCAGGTTACTAATATGGTGGATGTAATGGGGATTGTACCAATTCACTATTTCTGAACGATTTCAAAAAGAGACATTAATATATGAATGTCATGAAATATTTCTTTCTTTTTTTTAATGAACTTAAACACTTACCCATCCCAAACTCCACAAAGTTCTGGTTCTCCTCGGTCAGCATGTCCAGGAAGAGGTCGGGCACCTGCAGCTCCCGCAGATACTCCATGTTCTTTGGGTCGTACGCAAAGTTGGCGAGGTTGGCCAGAACTTGTTCTTTGGCCTCTAATAAAGGAAAAATAAGGCAAAAAAAATTAAATCAATACCGCTGATATACTGTGTTGTTCTAATTTACACCAGAAGGAGGAGCTGTTTGATGATATAGCTTTGTGAGATTCCGACAAATTGTTGGTAATATCCCCCTAAAATATGAATCGCAAAGCAGTGAAGACATTTTCTACAAAATTTCTGTTTTTTTTATGTTTTAAATAATAAAAAAACTATTATTTTAATTAATAAAAATAAATTATTTAATTAAAATGAGTCATAATAATAAATTAATTAAATTTCAGTCCAAGATTATTCCATCTATCCTATTATTATCCCATTATAACATATGAACGTGGTTTAATCTAATCTAATCTAAACCATTCCACTGCTGAGTTTTCCTGCTAGATCCGTTTCCTCCGCAGCCCAATCTCACATAAGCAGGAACCTTGAATGTAAAAATTATTTATACTTATTTCCCCCCAGAAATAAAACATTTTGGCCATAAAAGAAGAGGCTTTATATAAACAAAAGTCATTAGAGATCAATTAAAATTCGTCACCTTCACTGTCCGTGTCCTGAAATTCAGTGACAAGAGATTGTAAATATTCAAACCGCTCCGGTGCTTCTGTGGAGCTCATATTTCAGCTTCCGGCTTCACTTTGGTCGCTTTATGCAAGTCAGCCTCCGATTAATCTGTCTTCAAGCACAGGTTTACCACATTACTTTACTGATGTTAGTTGTTTTCAGTCGTCCGTCTCTGAAATGTGTTCGAGGAAACGAACGAGTGGAAAAACAGTTCCGGGTTCTCCAGGTGTTGTTTCTACTCTGGTTCCCCCAAAGAAATGAGCCCAAAATCGCAAATTCAATGCTGCGTTCTAGGCACATCGAAAATAAGAGATCAAATCTGGGAACAGTGTCGGAGAACAGAGTTCCACCTCTATTTATTGGTATGTTTTTACAGTATTTGATTACATAAAATAGAGTTAAATACTTAAGTAGATATGTTTTCTTATTATTCTGATATTTCAGCTGCATTTTACGAGTAACTTCAACACGCCTTGAATAAACCGAGGGCAAAATCAATCGGGACGCAAAGTTCGTCACAACACCGGAAGTTGTTGCCAGACCTAAGGAGGTGTGTGTGTCTATGCTGTTGTGTCAACTCACACTCGGAAGGTCAACTATAGAAACAAACGACCTAATGTAGGTTTAAAATTTGAGTTTTATTTTCAGGCAATAAGCCTCGTTATTGACACAAACACGCAACAATGAAGCAACACAAGCTGTCCGCCGGAAAACGTTTCACCAAACCGATTCTGTTCGGGAGTGTTCTGCTTGGACTCGCTACTGTCTTCATAAACAGGTAATTTATTATTTGCGCCTTTGGTTATATTAAACAAATTTACGATTTATTACAATTCCGAAATTTGGAGGTCTGTCGTGATTGCTAAAATTATATTTATTCACCGCAACTTAATTAAAAAAACACTTAAGTGATCACATTTAATCTTGCAGAGATCTACGCTTGAGGAAAAAACAACAACCAGCCTTCTCTGTTATTCGTTTACTTTTATGGTAAACGAATCTTTATTTTTATTGAAAAAATTTGTTAACTTGCCTTCAATGTGAATAGCAACAATCCTTTGACAGGAGACATTTTTCAGTTTTAAGTAATCCCTCAGTTTTGTCTCTACAGTTTCGTGAACACTGTGCTGCTGCCATATTGTAAGAGCATATAAATTGGTAAAAGTACAAATTGCAGAGCACTAAACTATTAACGTTAAGTAAACTGTTTAGTTTACCGAGAAAAACTTTTCTATAGTTATTGAACGTTTTTGGGACTATAATATTTGAGTCACATGGTCAAAACGTTTTGATTTCTTTTTCTAGGAACCAGCATCTGAGACATAAGGAGCTATTTAAAACGAAAGTGTAATTTTTCCAAGACGTGGAGTTAAAATAAAGATCTAAATTCTCTTGGAGTAAACCCAGAGATAGACGTGCTAATTGTGCTAACTGCTTACATTACTTAAAATATAATTCTGAGATCTTGCAAATGCTCAACTAGACTTACAAAGTTAATCTCAGGTTAGGTTGGTGTCTTCCATGTAAATCTCTGAACTGTTCCTGAAGGCTGGTGATAAATAGGAAGCTGTTGATTTTAAGAATGTCCACAATTTCCCATATTTTCATCATGATAGCTGTAGAAATCTGTCCTTCCAGTGAGATTTCTGTTTCTTCTGCCATACAGACATAAGTTCTTCACAGATGTGGACGTTATCCGGGCCCAGGAGAGAGCGCGCAACGAGTCCAAGAGGATGGAGATCCTGGAGAGGCGACAGAAGCAGATGGAGGAGCTGGCAGAGAAGAAGAAGCAAGGCGGGGTGTGACTGAACAAAACAGACACTTAAGGGCCCTCTTCACCTTGTTAATGAAGTCGGCAGATCAGCTGACCCTACTTTTCCACTTTTCAGAAAGAAGAGAATAAAAAAAAGGGCTTTTCTAGATTTTGCACTCGTCCTGTGTGCACAGATTGATTTGTTGCCTTCAAATAGAAAAAGAAGTCTCCATGTATCAGCTCCATGTGTGTTTCCTTTATAAACCATTTGAAGAGAATGTGAAGTGTTTGTCCAGCAGAGGGCAGAACATGCAACTTGAAGAACCAAAGTTGTGAGCTTATAATCTTTGTTGTGTTTTTATTTTCATGTGACATTTCATATGAATGCAGCGGCAAACCCTGTTCAGGAAATGTGCTTGTTACCTGAAAGCAGTTTTAATTGTGTGAAAATGGCTGATTATAAAGCGCTAAAGGGCGAGAGTTAATATGAGAGCAAATTTTGGAACATGATGTAGTTTTTCATGATACTATTCTAGAGGAATAAATTGTGCACGGGAGTAATATATTTCAAGTTTTTATTTCTGTTCATTTTGATGTTTATAGCTTATTAAAACCCTGAATGTTGTTTTTCAGAAAATTCTAATGATACATCAGACCTATATATATATATATATATATATATATATATAGAAGTGTGGATCTTCTAAAATCTAATTATTTTTGAATGTAAATGTGGATTTATGAGTCAAATAATTTAATTTAAAAATATTTTTTTAATTTTTTAAAATTATTTTTAACTTGTATTTGTCCAAGTTAGTACTTCCTTAATAATAAAATGCAGTGAAGTCATCTGTGATAATAAATACATCTTTTATTGGTTACATGCAGTCAAGAAATCAAATAACCCCACAAACAACTTAAAAACCATATTGCACTAAAACTGACCTACATTCCACATAAACCTAGAAATAAACTGTGCAATGACTTAAAAAAAAAGTTAAAACAGGTAAAAAGGGAACAGAAATTAAACTCAGGGATAGTTCAGATTTTGAGTTCTGATTAAAAATATTCAACATAATAAAAAAGAACTGAGACAGACCTCAACCCAACAGTCTGCAGCATAAACAGCCATGGACCAAAATCACAATCAATAAAAATGTATTTTGTGTTGATCAAAGATTGAAGAAACCTCCTTTGGTTTGGCTCCGCCTTTACTTAACATTCACTAGGTAAGATATTGACTGCTGATAATGTCCCCTGAACATCACGGGTAGAAAATCTGAACTATCCCTTTAACATGTCTGAACTCTCCTCTTCGTTGTGAACGCGGATCAATATGACCAATACTGTACACTTCATGTCACAAAGCTTAAAGTTACGTTGTGTGACTCGCTACAAAGACTCACTAGACACTGGTTCTGTAAATAAACGAGGCGTGCTCCAACACTTTTCCAACACCAGAGAAAAATGACTTAAACCTTGTTCAAGCACACGTGTCGAACAATTTAAACTGACCGACGTGAGTGTGACGGTCTAACTGACATTATTGCTGAGTAAAATTGTGAGAAATTCTGCTTACAAGTGAGAAAAGTGTTGTTTAATTGTGTCAGAAATGTAACATTTGCATAAATATTTTCCCTTTTTTCGACATGATGCACTCAACAAAATCCCGAGTCAGGTGAGCAGAAAGACGCTTATGGTTTTTCTCGGAGCCGGACAGATAAACAAACACCCACTACTCGCACATGGAGCCGTCGTTACAGCAGCTACGAAGCACAAGAGTCGAGTCAGGACAACGGACGGCGTCAAACAACAAGGAGGACGCGGAGCTGGAGACGGTGCGACAAAGCGTTGGGTCTCTGCTCCGGCGCTGCAGGGTCTCACACAGCCAGGCGCACCAGGCCGGGCGAGGAGGCGGCGGGAGCGGAGGTGATGGCTGTCAGGGTCGCGGGGTCGAGCCTGTTTACCGTCCCGCTGCAACAAAGCCACCCAAACAATGTCACCAAACACGCATCACTTCCTCTGCACAGAATCCAGGACCGACTCGACGTGAACGTCGTTCCGTTTATGATCTCAGCAACTTTCAGACACGCAGATGAGATGCAAAGTATGAAAACGATCACACAAACGAAACATTAATCTATACACATCTTAGTGTGTGTAGATTAAAAGGTGTGTAGACATTTTTTGACATGTTTCTTTTGTCTGAAAAGATCAGGCAAAGTTCAAAAGCAAAGACTGAATATGATTAAGAAAATAAAAAAAAAGAAAATGAAAATAGGAGCTCATTTCCCACAGCGTTACGATTCCAGGTAGAGTTTAAACAGATTAGATTTAGTAGCACCAAGTATCTCAAAGAGCTCACAACTTTCCAGAACTCACAGGTCACTTTCCTGGAATAAGCAAAGACAAATTTATTTGTTTTGCACATTTGAGCCACAAAACAATTCAGAGGACTTTACACGATGCATGGACATACCGGTTACCTTTCAGTAATGTTTTAAAATAAACTACATCTGCATTGGTGGAATGCAGCCAGTAAGTTCCTGGTGAGTTCTGTAAAAGTTGCACGTTGTCGCTAAGAATTAATGTTGATAAAGATACTAAGATACTCAGCAAACAGGTGGAATAAGGGGATGTGAAAACCTCATGGCTCCTGGTAGGACGGCGGCCCTAAACATGCAGCCAGAGCTGCAATGAAGTTTTTGGATGAAGCATACTTATGTGTTAGAATGGCCCAGTCAAAGCCCAGAGCTAAATCCAATAGAGAATCTGTGGCAAGACTTTAATCGTCCTTTCCAACCCTAATCGTTCGCTTGTTTCCGTCCTTCCTAGCCGTCTGCTAATCATACCGATAGAGTGGCTTCCACTTGACTCTCTCCCACTTTCCCACCTGTGTTTATTATATGATTGTACAGAAACAAAGCTAGCTTATCAGTTTATAAGGCTCTCATGGTCTGGGTTATATTTTCAATTAAAATATATATATTTTTTGTGCAATGAATTATTGCGTCGCTGCCAGAAGTTTGGGGCGTCCCTCTGCCAGTTCAGGTCTGATAAAAGACTCCACAACGGGAGACATCAGAGCTCTACCGCCACCGTCAGTCAGCCCACCGCCATTGTAATTTCTACGTGATTAGAGACGAGGCTTGTTAAACCCAACACAGCATGCATCCCAAAACCTTCTCCGCAGGCGAAGGAGCTGCATTTACCCAGAACTAACGCCGGGAATATGACTGTCTCGGTTCTGCTGGGACAAAAACGCACACACACGTTTGAGATTCCTCTCGTCGTGTCATCTGTGAATGTGTACGGTAATAAGATGCTGTGTGTGTGTGTGTGTGTGCACTTCACTTACGCCTTGTCAAAGTACGACGTGCTGAGCGCCTGAGCGTAGCTGGTTGTGTTTGCGTTGAGCGCGTTGCTGTTGTCCAGAGAGTACGCCTTCCGGGCTTTCTGGTCTTTAGCGAAGTTCCTGCAGGCGGCGAGCTTCGACTCCAGAGCCTGGATGGAGGT